AGAGATAGGAAATGAAGAAGTTAAATTGCCATTATTTGGGGATGACATGATACTGTATATAGAAGACCTCAAAAACTCCACCAAAAGACTTCTAGACTTAATAATCAAATTCAGTAAAGTAACTGGAATCAAAGTAACCATTCAAAAATCAATAGCCTTTCTGTACATGAACAATAGACTCACAGAGAGAGGAATTGGGGCAACAACTTCTTTCACAATAGCATCCAAAACAATGAAATACCTAGGAATCAATCTAATGAAGTAAAATGCCTCTACTTTGAAAACTATAGCACTCTGAAAAAAAAAGATCAAAGAGGATATCAGAAAATGGAAAGACATCCCTTGTTCTTGGGTAGAAAAAGACAATATAGTGAAAATAGCCAAACTTCCAATACTGCTATATAGATTCAATGCAATTCCAATTGAAATTCCAACAGCATATTTCCAGAACTAGAGAAAACAATCCAAAAATTTATTTAGACCCAGAAGAAACCTAGAATAGCAAAAGCAATTCTAGCCAACAAAGGCAAGGCAAGGGATATCACAATCCCCAACTTGAAACTATACTACAAAGCCACTATGAGGAAAACAGCATGGTACTGGCAAAGATACAGACCCAAGGATCAGTGGAACAGATTAGAAGTTGCAGAAACAACCCCAGACACATTCAGCCACCACATCTTTGACAAAAGAGCCAAACGCCCTCACTGGAGGAAAGATAGCTTCTTTAATAAATAGTGCTGGAAAAACTGGGTTTCAGCTTGTCAAAGATTAAACTAGACCCATATTTTTACCATGCACTAAAGTAAAATCAAAATGATTCAAAGATCTAAATACTAAAACAGAAACACTAAACTGGCTGGAAGAGAGGTTAGGTAGAACTCTTAAAGACATTGGCATAAAGACTATATGAACAAAATTTCAGTTGCACTGGGAACTATTACAAAGAATCAACAAGTGGGATCTCATCTTATTAAAAAGCTTCTGCACAGCAAGAGAAACC